GGGATGGCCATTTCTGACTTATTAGCCGTCACTAGCCAGTCCTACCCAGACTCAAGTGGTGTCCCATTCGAGCCTCGAACTCGCAACCTTTTTAATCAGAGTCAGACGCCCTAACCATTGAGCTACGAGCTCGTTGTCTTGTCGGTTTAGGTCGCGGCGTTTTGACACTTGTTGGTGAAGGCTCGCCCGACCGCTCCGTCTTGGGCCCTGACAGCTGCAGTAGCTGGTAGTGTAGACAGACGGTGGCTAATAAGCCAGAAATGGCCATTCCAGTCTCCCTTGTCTTTGCCGGCAATATTATCTGCCTATAGCAGACTAGTTTGGACAGCACGTTCGGCCCGTTCGAAGTCAAAGAGCCTTGAGAGCTAATAGGTTGTGTGCACAGGGCGAGTTAGAAGCTTGCTTCTAGGTCAAAAAAGGCGTTGGTTTGGGAGCGCGTGAGCAGTGTTGTGTGTTATTTGACGTCTGCCCCCTAAATGGGCCGCGTGGAAAATGCACTAGAATAATACAGGGGCTACATCAGGGCACGTGGTAGGCGTCATTCGGGTAACACTGTCATATCAAATGCCGCACATGGCAGTGGTGCGTGTGCTTATGCCGCACTTGCGCCCGATCCCGCCTCCGATCTTCTTGCTTCTGTCTTGACACTGGTCACAGGTGGCTGAGGGAAGAGCGAGGGAGAGTTCGGTAGATGCTACGCAAGTTTATTATCAATTACAATCAGTTCACATGCGTTTCACCGTCCTTGCTTCACCACGCTGTGGGGCACACGGTAGACATCGTGGGATATGACGTTCAATTTGTCGTAATTTGCCTCCATCCGACATGTCAGTGGCGGCACATGAAAGTGATTGGTGGAGTGGTTCACGTATGATTGGGCGACCAATGAGCTCAATCAGGGGCGTATGACGACGAGATGCTAGGCAGGGCAATACGCATGATTTTGGGCCAGTTTGTGGGCGTAGTCGGATCAGGTCAAGCCTGAGGAATGGACCTGCGTTAGCGGCGTATTTGTGGTTTAGTTTGTCTGTTGCAAGTTTCGACTGACAATCTGACGCCGAAAAATGGGACATTGAAGGTCAGCCTCAGTATAGTAACTCATCTGAATTCTATGTAATAGTTGGGACGAGATTGCCTGATATCATTTTACTGGAATAGAAACGCCCCCAGGACAGCTATATTTGCAGTCACCCTCATAGGACATTAATTTTTAGTTGAGCCGACGCGTATCCTTTTATTTAAAGATGGCCTGGAGTGATAGTTCGCAACGTTGGAGAAATGCATTGATGAACACGCTAATAAAGTATATATAGATGACTGAGTTAAGCTCCCGACAAAGAAAAAACGCCAGAATGACCATTTCGGACTTAGCTGTGATCAGCCTACCCTACTCAACCCAATGGTTGAATGACCTGATATCCTCACCCGTGTTTCTCGATCATCTAGCATTATTAAGTCCAACGCTCAATCCAGTTAACGTTGGCTGTCGGCGAGGGCGAACAAACCAAAAACGACCATCCCGGTTCCCTTGCTGGGAATCCTCATCTCAACATGCTACTGCCAGTTAAACGACTGCCTCCGAGGCCTCTAGGTTATGCTGTTCACTTTCAAAGCATCTCTTGTGGGAAGAGAGCAAGGAACACATCTTCCTGGTGCACTTTTCATTTCCGAGAGTGTGCTTGAAAGTTGGCCTGGGAGATATAGAGAAAAAAATCGCGTTAGCATTGCTTCACAGTCTTCATCCATCTACAATGGAGATTAAGCTACTCTTATACTTTTTGTTAATAGGAGCATAGTAATTTGTAGCAGGACGTTCCTTTGTGTAGTAATTCAGCTGAATTTCAACTTTTTAGCTATTGATCATAAATTAAACGGTAGGATGTTTTATGAGCAAGTACCCATTCAGCGAACGACTGTCATTGGCTGTGATCCATGTGCAATCGACTTTTAACAGGTGTACGTACTACAACGAATTGCACCGCTGAAACAGTTGAATACCACAGAACGATGTGTGCTTTTGTCACTTATCATGCGGAAATAGTGGGGGCTATGTAAGCATGCGGGCGGTCATAGGCGAAAACGCATAGTGGAGCGTAGGATACGAAACGTGGTTCATTAAATCCCAGGTAAGGTTATGGTTAGAACTGAGGTTATAGCTGGTGTTTGGAATTGCGTCACGGTAATTAGGTCCTAACTACAACCCCACCTCTTT